ATCATTACTGTTTCATTAGAAACACCGACGCAGCTCACACTAGTTTTTAGCTAGTTATATCTTCTTAATACGTGGTTTGTGCTTCAGCAACCATAGCATTTTACGGTATGATAGCATATATGGCGCGCAGTTTGTTACGCAGCCATGCAAACGCATCCGGTACCGTGGAATTTTGCCGTAGGGGAAAGCAAAGACGCTTGGGCTTTCTAATTCACACAGCTTTTCCCACTCCCGTCAGTCATTATCGTATTGATGGTTTTCACAACCGCCATGTTGGATGAACGTAACAAAAGATTAGTCATGAGTCTCTTTCGTTATATCATCCAACATGGCCGCCGTATCTTTTGCTATTTCATTCTCTTTGGAATGAAAACCAGCAATTTATATAGCTGTTACCATATATATTATCTTTTACATTAACTATTTCTATGTTTCCTTTTTTGACAGAAAAAGACTATTCTTACAGCTTCAATCCTATATCATACTCCCCTATACAAAGTAAGGATTACATGATTACATTGTTGTTTATAATACATTGAGAACGTACCACTGATGCAACAAAAATGAGATTTTATTAGGAGAGAGAGGGATGGTGCAAGGCACTGACGATGAGCTCATTCTTGCTGACCATTTGCGTAATGTAGATCATTAGGGGGGATGTTGCTTTTTTGAATGGGCTAGAAATTCATCGAGCCCTCCCATTGGATAAACATCAATTCCGTACCGCGGTAACGGTCCCATTTTCCTTGCCATTTTAAAGTCATGTAAATCTACTTTGTTATTTACCTTGCTTGCTCAGTTAGGAATGGACCTTTGTTTAACCCGTATAAATTTTCCCCCAAGCATTTGAATGAGAGGCTACGCATGGCAAAATATCTACGGTTCCAGTTCACGTGGCCTGCCATGTGAGAAAGGTCCACCGTACGGACGTCCAAATATAGCCTTTTTTACGTACATGACTTCGATAACAATATTTGTTTGGAAGCTCAGGCGACTTTAGTAATATTGAGGTCTGCATATTACACACCGCCCTTTTCAAACGTCTCATATTTCTTTGTTCTGCGCATGTATTTTCTGCCCTTGCTTGCAATATAACAAGGATGCCTTTAAAATGGTATATCTTAATCAACGACATATTATTACAGGACAGCGGTTGCTCAATAGAGAGGAAATAGCGAAGGTTAAGTTATCAGAGATGATGGATGATGCAGAAGCACGAGAGCCGTCTTCACCTCTACCGGTTTGTTCGTTTACTTGATTTTTTGCCCGCATATGATTATCCATCTGTTTAATTGTGTGTCCAAGAGGTGGTGGGGTTTATTTGGGGTCTGATGTAATTTTACAATTTATAATCTAATTTAAGAAGAACAGGTGCTGGTGCTAGTGAATACAATCCGAGACGTCACAGCTCCAACAAAGTGTTTAATAAAATTGTCGGTGTACCAAACAGTATAATGGTTGTACTGGTCCGAGAAATATGTCATAGCGTACGACAAATAAATTATCGCGCTCTGATAGGTTAAGGGAATGTTGTTAATTCCCTACCTTGACCTCAGTGTGCCATCATTCGCAACAGCCGACACCTTGAATCTACTCCAGTTGAGCATGCGCAAACATAAGATAGCTGCTTGACATGATTGCGGGCATGTTTATTTGTATATTTCTTACAGTCACCAGTTTCAGTGAGTCGTCAAATGAACCTGGATGTCTATGCTGATTTGAACAAGTTTCTTGGCGTAGAAATACTCAGAGGCAAGTGTTAGAGAATAAYAAAATTTAGATTAGAGAAGAAAAAAGAAAGAAAGAAAGAAAAAGAAAGAATGTTTGAATGAATGAAATAAAAAAGAGCAATAAAAAAGAAAAAAATATGAAAATTTTGATTATTAGAACTTTGACGGTGTTGATGATATTAGGTTCTCATAAAGAATAAACCTATTATTTTTCCAAAGCGTAATGTTTTCCCATTTCAGAAAAGAATTGATATCTAAGAGAATTATGAATGGTGGCCTAAAATAAGACGATCACTCCCAAAATAGACTAACCTATAGCTTAATTCTGCTAGTTAATTGTTTTATTATTATTTTATTTACTTTTCATTTTTACTT